GCATTCAGCAGAATGATAGGAATAACGAGTATTAATCTCATCAATCATATTTATATACTACTCTCACAATGTAAGCATCCGATCAAAGTACTGAATACATAATACTTGAAGACAGTGAAAAGACCCGTTCCATGAAACACTACTTAAGGTACTGCTGAGTGTATCCCTTAGCTGATGGGGGCACAACGGTGGGCACATCAAGCACATTCTGATGAAAGGTTGTTATAAAGCCTGAACAGCAATGGCTACAGCTAAAATTTCAAGAACAGTCTGAAAGAACGTATTGTAAATGCTAAAAAGTTAAATAGAGGATTGTGTTATCCCTCAAACTAGACTACACAGGTACCTTGCTACTGAAACTTCAACTACCTCGACATGACTCCATGGTCTTGAGAAGTCAGAACTCTTCACAAAATAATTTTGTCATAGAAGCCCAAAGAACATTATCACCAGAAACACTGAGATAAGGTGTATGAAATTTCTTAGATCCAAACTTCTAACAGACAACTCGCATTCTGTGCTGGACTGGATACGAGATTATATATCCATTAGGTAATAGAAAAGAGCTTTAAAACTTTCTTATGAGCCATTACCTGATATGCAGGTATCACTGTCACATAAATGTGCTTTATTTGGCATAACAGCATCAAAACTGTGGAGCATACTTAGAACCAGGAATTATACCAGACCAAAATGACAGTGCAAAAACATACCTAGGATTATTTTTTACTTGGCAGAGACTGTTGATCAGGCAACAGATATTCTCCAGCACTACTCTAGGACTGCCTGAGTTAATAAAAAGCAGCTTTCCACAATGCTTAAGTAACAAGAAATCCCGGTCACCAGTTACAGCGTGCAGGTCCAGAACAAAAAAGCACCCAGGAAAAAAAGGCATTTTCGAGAGGAATTTGGTCACTGCTTACATTCTCAGACTGATGTCTGCAGCTAGCCAGAACAAGCAGAGAGCTGGGGGAAAACATAGCTCATTTCATCTGGTTTCAGATTCTCATAACAATCACTTAACTCAGTATGAAGGTTAAAGTGAGATTTCCTAATGCCAGAGGCTTATTTTCTATTGTGGAACAGTTTGACTCTTGCTCCCATAGATAAAAACTCACACACCTTGCACTGTCCTTGATAGCAAAGATCTTTATGAAGCATCTTCCATTATTCACTTCGACATTTGTTGGATTATGTGTGAATGCATAGTATTTTGCAACTTACCTGTTTGTATGAGTAAGTGAAGAATACATACTACCTTTTTGTCAGGGCAGCATATGGTATTTTAAATACCTGCAGAGCAGAACAATTCCTTGAGAAAAGACTTACTACACAGATTAGTTTGATAATTAACAGAATCCAGAAAAATGTATGCGGAGCCAAGTATGTTCCGATGATCAGATTCCTTGTATCCATAGGTTTATTTCCATGTGTTCCTCAGTTTGCTCCTGATCACTAATATTCATATTCTTCACAGAGCTGAGGTAACAGGGCAGGAACTTTAGTACTCAGTATTTTGCAAGGAACTACATTAGAAGTGCCAGTGAGAGAGTCAGAGCTCTGTATGGACATGTACAGTAAGACAAACCCATAAACTGAACAGCTATCTCACTAATAGTAATAGTGATACCAGAAGACAGATTTCTCTTCCACACAGTCTTTGATCCAAAATTTACTGGTCCTTACAAAAGCCTTCTTTTGTGACTAAGATTTCACAGTTTGCTAGGATACTTAAGAAAGACAGCACAACTAGAATTTCATCAGCCAGATAGTGCTAGCATAAGGCATTTTGTAAATAGCTTTGCTGCCTTGGAAAATCCATAAAAGGATACTTCTTGTAAAAATTATGATTTAGTCTCACTAGATCCAGTTCTTAATTTTGGGCTGTGTAGACAGTAGCCCAGAAGTGTGTTCCCCTGCAAGCTAGTCCTGAATATGCAGAGATGAAAGCAATCATCCTCCTGAATTTGAGGCAGTGTACTGAGAAAAAACATATGCATCTAAAATAGACAGGGAAAGA